GATTTTGCACCACTTCAGCATTATTCACATACACATAGACCTGACTGAGAATACAACTATTCTATTTTTTTCCAAATGATTGTATTTTGATAGAATTCTGAAGTGGTAAAGATTTTTAATAATACGGTAGCTTATTTTTTCTCTGCTACTTGATGTCTGATATTAAAAGATTTATTTTTTGATATTTATTACAAGCCCATTTGATTATACAAAATGGAAGAAAAAAGTAGAAGATGCTGAATTAAGCTAGTTATAAAAATTGTTATCACTACTCAATTAGCTTATCAGATAATAATTCTACTTTGATGAATTTTAGAGGACGTTTCACCAGTGACTATCAGCATTTTACTAAAATACTTCTTTTTTATGGAAACCTAGCGTCAGATTAATTTTTAGTATACTGTATCACATTGGAATAGAAAACAGTAGTTTTGTTTTAAATAAGTTGAGAAGAGCCCAAGAAATTCTAGGCGTATTCCAGTTTTCTCATTATTGAAGTTGTCAAGGATTTCATTTTAGTCAATGCCCATAGAAGCAGCAGTTAAGAAATCAAACGACTTACTGCATTGGGCAAATCTGCTTCAGAAGACCTCTTTAAAGTGTTAAAAAGCAAAGATGTCACTTTGAGGACCTAAGGTGGACCTGACCCAAGCCATGGTATTTTCAATCATCTCATATGCATGTGAAAGCTGGGCAATGAACCAGGAGGACCTAAGAAGAATTGATGCCTTTGAATTATGGTGTTGGCAAAGAATACTGAATATACCATGGACTGCCAGAAGAATGAACAAATGTGTCTTGGAAGTACAGCAGAATGCTCCTTAGAAGCGAGGATGGCGAGACTTCGTCTCACTTACTTTGGACATGTTATCAAGAGGGACCAGTCCCGGCAGAAGGCATCATGCTTGGTAAAGTAGAGGGTCAGCAAAAGAGAGGAAGACCCCAATGAGATGGATTGACACAGTGGCTGCAACAATGGGCTCAAACATAGCAATCATTGTGAGGATGGTGCAGGACCAGGAAGGTTTCGTTCTGTTGTACGTAGGGCTGTTATGAGTCAGAAGTGACTTGATGGCACCTAACAAACAGTAATTCCAGATTTTGGAATTCGGAGAAAGATATACCAGAGTGGCTGACATTGACTAGATCTTGCTCAAAGATTAGCTGAAAAACTAAGATACAACTATGTTTCCTGTCAATTTCATTTCTGTACCCCGATGAGCTCTGCCTGTTCACCTGGTTCTTTGTGAGTCTTGGTTTGCCCCATTTAGACCTCTATGAGGAAGGACAATAAATGTGTACATTTTTCTGCCCTCTGTGCTTGGATTGAGATCATTTTGAATTGGGAAGTCAACAATTCCACCAAGTTCCATTGGCAGACATGAACTGGGAAGAAGTAACGGAGAGAAAGACAAGGAGGGGACACAAGAGGAGGTGACAATAGAAGAAAAAGTTGGAATTGGAGGAAAAGGAGTGGGTGGATCATTTAATTTTGGCCCACTGGGAACGGATCCAGCTTCTTTCAGAAGCCCAAACATTTATGTCACAGGTCATAAAGCTGCATTTTTAAAACTGTGGGTTATGCCCCATTAATGAATGGTGAAATGAATTTAATGGGTCACAAGCTGAATTTTACATTTTAATAGAATAAAATAGAAAATATTTGAGTGCAGTGAACTTAGTAAGAATAAGTATTATTTTGGGCAACTTTTGTTTCAACTTACAAATATATGTGTGTTACGAGTATATGTATTTTCCGGGTCATGATATAAAATTTAATTTTTACGAAGGGTTGTCGAAAATGTTTGAAAACTACTTCACATAGAATACAATTTTAAATCCTTCTGCCACTGATCATTCCCATTGTAGAAAATTCTAAAAATCAAGCACAAGGTAAAATATTTATCCTCATTATCCCAACATTAGAGATAACCACTGTTAATATTTTGGCCCATTTTGCACACACACGCACACACGCATACACTTTACCTATATAGACTGTATATAAAAATCTGATATCTTGCATTTTTCTTCTTTTCTTCTTGCCTTAGGCCTGTTTTCTTTCTCTCCTGTGCACGCCACAGTCTGGATTAAACACAGGTGGGCCAGGTAAATGGATTGTGTATTCTATTAATTCTCTTATCTGGGCTAGATATTATGTCTATTTGAAGAGGGATGCTGATGGCAGCATGAAGGAAAAGTAATGGGATTCATGAATTTTTCTTTCTTTACATTTTGGACAAATCACTATAATGGCTTGAGTTCCATACTCTTAGGAAAGATGAATAAATGAATGTACTTGCCTTATGCAAGCCTTCCACTTCAACTCAAGGAATCACGTTTATTTAATACTTTCATTTTGTCCATATGTCTAATTGTATGGTGATATATCTAACATGAATCTTTGGAATTACAGTATAAACCGAAGAATAAATCTTAACTTTTCTAATTTTTATTTTCTATTGCCAGACCCAGAAGCCAAAAGCTTGCATCTGATGTAATATTATAAAAGAAAATGAAAAAATTCAGGTATTTCCAAATGTACAGCTGTCTGGCATCATATGGACTCAGAATCTCTCTATTGTACTGTTTCTTTTTCCACACTGGTCTACATAACACCTTTTTAATTTAGCAATGCTTCATAAATTAGGCTTCCGGGTAAATTAAATATAAAAATTAGGATCTATTTCACTGTTCAGTAAAATTATTATTTCCGTGAGGCAAATGTGCAGAATATGGATTTTCAAATGTTTACTAATACAGCGAATCTCAGCAAGTTTTCTGTTCATTTTTCTTCTTTTTCAAGAGTCTCAAGAATGTATGAGGGGGTGATTCTCCCAACTAGGCGAGGCAAGTAAATGTACAAATACTGTCTTTCTGCAATCATATAGAATTTATAAAACAAACAAATAGCATGAGACAAAAAGGCAGGGGATCAGCATTCTCTGCAAATGCTTAGGCAATGGAGGTAATTATTTGGTCACTGTATCCAGAATACAGAAATAATAGGTTCCACTTATTTAGAGTTCACGTGAATGAGAAAGTTCCCGAATAGCTCTTCTCCCCACAGAACAGTAAAAACAACTCAGGTTTACAACAGAGACCCTAAAGCTATTAATTTTTCCAACTGACTTCTGAATCATCACAACATTTTAAACAAATAATTCATTTGTTAATGAAATGTACTATTGAATCCTTTTGGGGTTGAAGGCATTTTAGCATATTCTAATTCTTTAAAACAATATACTCTTTCTCAAAATCAACGGGTAGTTAAAGCTGACTTAGCGTCTAAGGCAAGTATTTCCTCTAGTATATCCCTTAAAACACTAGTCACAGACACCCTGAGAAATTAACAATACTTACTTTTCTAGTCAGTTCTGCCTACATAACTCTTCGGGAATTACTGTTTGGGGCATTTAATCTGTGTGTGATATAAAACAGCTAATACATTTTAGATAATATTATAATAATAAAAGAAAACTGTCATTCTTTACCCTATACATTCTGGATAAATTAGCATTCCTACATGTAATATGGCAGCGTTGATATAGACCTTTCTTATCACTTAAAGTAAAAGTGCTGAGAGGCTTAAAGAGTGCTGGTTTACTGCTTGTGTTCACAACATTTGATTTTTTTCATTCAAATTATGATGCACTGCATTTTAAAATATATATAAACTATGTTGCATTGTATCGCAACACAGTAGAAGAAGCAGTTTAAGGCCAGTTAATGCTCAACTTCTCTTGATTTTTTTTCTCTTTTGATTTTTTGGCTTATACACACCTTATGAAAGACTGCTTAGCACATTTGTGCGAAGTGTGATGGGCTGGGCTTAATTGGGAAGCAAGGACGTATTGATCTGATTCAGAGAAGCAATGATAAGTAATTAATTGCTAAAATTATTAAGGAAAAAAGCAAATGAAATGTGGCAATCTGTTAACACAGTATAGTTCTAATTCATATTAATGGAATCTTGAGAAGTCTTATATAGGGGGAAAAGTCTGGTGGTTAGTAGAAGAGACACACCTCTAAAGAAGTTAGGAATTACCCATTTTTGTTTAAAAAACAATAGCAACAAAACAGAAGAGATCTCTGGAAGGGATAGAAATAAAACGGTGACTCTGAATAAACGGGACCAAGTTCTTTTGATTTCTGGCAAATTTATTGATTTTGTCAGTATGTGACTCGACATCAGAATAGGAAAGAGAAGCTGGTGCCCTGCTGGGCTGGCCAAGGACTTCTGAGCAGCTCCAGAAAGGGACATAAAGAACCCAAATGTATCCAAGATTTTAGTGAAAGAAAGGCCTACCAGGAAAGCCACGTGCTTGAATGGAGAGCAACTGGACCTCTGCAGCTCTCCTGAGCTAGGTGAAGGGCACACAAATAATAAAAAAGTTGGAGCCCTGGCACGAGGACAGTTCCAGCTGAATGTATCCATCAACGAGTTCATGTTATAGCTGTAACTATGCCAACAGCACTTGCAAGACTTAATGGGAGGGGATAAGGCCACTGCTTGACTCAAACAAAAGACAGTAGTTGGTAAGTCTTACTTTGGACCTTTCTTGATCATAAGAATTGCCACGAAATTTACACAGATTTTGGAAAATGAGTTGTCTCCCAATAAACTACTCCTTAGCTGAGTTTCATTTTGGATGGTGGGGACTAAAACCAGTCGACCAGCTGTCACCCAGTCCTTTCTGACTCATGACGACCCCACGTGTGTCAGAGCAGGACTGTGCGCCATGAGGTTATCAATGGCTGATTTTTGGAAGTAGATCACCAGGCCTTTCTTCCAGTGCACCTCTGGGTAGACTGAGCGCATTAAAGGTTAACAGCACCCAAGAACGCCACATGAGGTTCCCAAGAGTTGGAACTGACAGGGACTAAAGGAGTATTATGTGTATTTTGAATACTAATTTTATTTGACTCTTTAGATATCCCCTCTATGAGAAAATTACCCTGTAAGGAAGTCACGTAAAGGGGAAACCCCCAGGACTTACATCTCTCCCAATCAAGTCCTCTTGGTTCTCCACAATTCCCCAGGGGGCAATGCCTATGGTGCATATCTTCCCCCGAGATTTCGATGCATGGTCCTTCAATGCGTCTCCAACATGACGAATAACACCTAAAAGGGAAAATACAGGTATTAATCTTGCCTTTTAGAGGAATTACCTTTCTATCGTTCTAAAGGAAATTATGATAACTGTTCTCTGAGGGTTAAATGCATTGAATATAAATTTTGTTAAATGCATTGCATATAAAATTTTGACACATTTCTATATAAACTACATACACTTAGAAGAGAACATAAATGTACTGCAGTGACCTAGATAAACTCTCCAGACCTGTATGTGAATCTTATTCTGATTTATATGAAAAAAAAGAAAAAGCATCCAATGTGTATAAAAAGAATACATACAATTCTTTAAACTAAGAGAATCTTTTCCTTATATTATGAAGTATAATGATATAGGAGTATGCCTAAGAGCTAAGGCCTTGACTGTGTTCTGTAAAATGCACCATATATAATATTAAATCTGTACCACAGTTCATGTATGAGTTAGGGTCCTTTGACTAGTTATTTAGCTCACAGTCTGTTAATCTTAATTTCATCTTCCTACTTATGAATACTTCCTATTAATTTCATTTTACTTGGATCCACAATCAACACCCATGGAAGCAGCAGTCAAGAAATCAAAAGATGCGTTACATTGGGCAAATCTGCTGCAAAAGACCTCTTTTAAGTAAGTGCTGAAAAGCAAAGATGTCACCTTGAAGACTAAGGTGCGCCTGACCCAAGCCATGGTATTTTCAATCAAATCATACGAAAGCTGGACAATGAGTAAGGAAGAATTGATGGCTTTGAATTGTGGTGTTGGTGAAGAACATTAAATATACCACCGACTGCCGAAAGAATGAACAAATCTCTTTTGGAAAAAGTACAACCAGGATGCTCCTTAGAAGCGAGGATGGCGAGACTACATCTTACATACTCTGGACATGTTGTTAGGTGGGATCAGCCCCTGGAGAAGGACATCATGGTTGGTAAAGTAGAGGGTCAGTGAAAAAGAGGAAGACCCTCAATGAGATGGATTGACACAGGGGCTGCAACAATGGGCTCAAGCATAACAACAATTGTGAGCATGGCGCAGGACCAGGCAGTGTTTCGTTTTGTTGTACATAGGGTTGCTATGAGTTGGAAGCGACTTGACAGCACCTAACAATAACAGCAACACTTATGAATATGCAATGTGGGGAGCTTGCCTGTAAAGAAAATATTGGCATGTTCTATGGAGAATTAATGTTAAAAATAACATAAGCACACATTTTTATTTTCATCTCCCTAATTGTTGTCCTCCTTTGTTATCATGGAGTTCCCCGTCATATTGTTAAAAATGAGAAAGTACAGTTTACAAGATGGTAGGGAAACTATTTCTCAACTTTCTTGCAAACCACTTAAAGAAGATACAATTTCTAACCTTTCAATCTCCCTCACAAATGATCATTTCTTATGGAAGAGTTATAAAGTATATACTCTTAGGAAAGATATCTCCACTTATCAAAATCCTACTATTTCTCCGGGAAACATTCACATCTAGTGCCACCTCCTATATGAAAGCTGAGTTGATTTGATTTCTTCTTCATTTGAACAGGAATGCAGTTTGTATACCTATCGAAAATGTCAATATGTCACCTAACACATTCTGCCATGATTCATAATCATACGTGAGGCTGTCTCCTCTAATAGTAAAACTCCTTGAGGGGAAGGTTAGAGGGTCATCTCTGTGTTCCTC